GAGCATTATTTTAAAAGTAACGACAAGCGGAGTAAAACGTCTTTGACGTTACTCATTGTGACGTAGGCAAGTTATGTTATACAAAATATTATATGTTCTTCTAAATGATTTAACCAGTGAAATTGCTTGATATAAGTGAAATTAAATTATTAAAGCAAAGTGTAGGTGTTTTTTTATGGATTTTGGAAGTCTCGTCGTCTTTTAACATAAGAACAAAATTGCATTGACACTTAGAGTGTTGATTATTATTCATGATACAGCTAAACAGTTTATAATTAATATTTCCTCTGAATTCTGAATATACCAAAATTAATGTCGTCAAACATAGGTTTTCATTTATTGTATTTGATTGACGTTTTAGTAAGAGAAATAAGTATTTATGTGAAATAGATAATTGAGCTCTGCAGAAGAAGAAAGAATAGAACTACTTAAAATACACATTACCTTGAGACGTAGGAGTAGATGTTGGTGTTGTCTTCGTGGTAGTTGATTCTAAGGCTGTTGTTGGCGAAGTGTTCTCTGCTGTAGCTCCCTGGGATGTTGTTAATACACTGGTTGTTGTAGCAGTAGCTGATACTAACGTTGTTGACTGAGTGGTACTTTCTGTTGTTGTTGATACAGTAGTTGATTGTATGATACTTTCCCTTGTTGTTGACTCGGTGACCACTGTTGTTGTAGCCTCGGTGTTTCCTGACGTCGAATCTTATGTAAATGATTGATTAATAATGTTTTACGCCGAATACAAATAGCAGTTATGAACAAAAATTGATGAAGTTACTGTATCCAGCATCAACTTTCTTAATGAAGCGTCATAATTAAAATTCCTTAAACATGTTAAACAGGCCGAGTCTAATTCAAGTGCGCATAACTTTGCGCAGCTTTTTATTTTCATGCAGCCATAAGTGCCACAGTACACATTTCCAAAATATTGTGATTTTAATATAAAATTAACATTATCTGTAACGTCTACTGGTCTGAAAATGTGATTTTACGACAATTATAAGGAAAAACCGCTGAAGTGGCACTATCCATGCTAACGGCGTCACTGTTTTCCGATTTTGTAAACAATGCACGACGCTGAAGAATGACACATAACTCGCTTATATATACGTTTGTAGACGTCCATGAATGTAATACTAAAAACTGATGATAGGATAGAACATTAAAAGAAACATGCTAGCAATCTAAATATTGCTATTTTTAACCAAAAAAATTAGCTGCGCCAATAATTCATCTGCACCGATATGTATTTATACCAGGGATGGGGTAATGGTAATGTGTACATGTAATGGTAATTGACTGTAATTAATTACAAATTTCGATGTAATTGAAAGTAATGTGTAATTGACCAAATTTTCAATTACAAGTAATGGTAATTTAATTAATTACTTTCCAAAAAGGCATGTAATTCACAATTACTTTTCAATTACATTCAATTACACTGGTTTTTTAAAAATAAATGAAAAATAGTCTCCTCTCCCTCAATTTCATAAACATTATTTATGAAAGGTTAATAACTTATATTTTGGACCAAAAATTTTACTAGTAAAATTTCTTGAAAAGAACTTCCCTTTTTAATTGTCAATTGTTGTTTAAATACAATGCCCCTTTTCATTAAAAAAAAACCAAACTTTTAAATCGAATTAATCTTTGTAAAGTTTACAAATAAAATTCATATTTTGATTTTTTAATTAATTAATCCATATGGAAATAAGAAGTCCAATGGCTTCTAATCCTTTTGTTGGCCATATCTTCAGCTTGTGTTGGAAGTTATTAACAGGTGCTACAGTAGCTAATTAGTGTCTTGGGGTCATATACTTATTCCTAAATAAACATTTTTCACACCTTTGACTTTGTCTGTTGGTGTTTTTATACATAATCTTTGACTTTAAATTGTAGTTTGGGACAGAATAAGTCAAATACCCACATTTTGAGGTAAACCTATGATGCTGAAATAAGGAAATATAAAGGCATCAAAAGTACATTTAGCATAAGTTTATCACTTGTTTATGGGAAAGCTTAAAAATGATTCCAAAATTTAAACACATGAATTAAGGTAAAACCATCTGTAAACTTTCTACTAGTCAGTATATCTACATGTATGCATTTTTCTCACAAATACCCCAGTGGAAAGAATCTTCAGCATGGCAGGAAAATCTTCAAATTAATCGAAGATATATTAGGTTAGGGGACACAGTATTTGAAAAATGTATGAAGCTTTTAATATAATTATTGTAAAAAATGTTGTAAAATAATCTGTTATAAATGTAAAGGAATATACATGACTATTTACTTTTAAACATGTATTCTTGAATGTAATTTGTAATTTAATTAATTACATTTGCAAAGTAATTGTAATTTAATTAATTACATTTCAAAATCCATGTAATGGTAATGGTAATTTAATTGAAGGTTTTGGGAAAGTAATTGTAATTTAATTAATTACTTTCCTATGTAATTGACCCAATCCCTGATTTATACCACAATATGGCAATTTTAGAGGTATTATTCATCGAAAAATTATACTAGGCGCTCCCCATGTAATTTTGTAAATGACGAATGATAAGTATATATATAGATAGATATATATAGATCTACCCCTCTATACTATAAATAGTATAGAGGGGTAGACCTATTTATATACTTATCATTCGTCATTTACAGAATACATGGGGAGCGCCTATGGAAAAAATAAACATTGTAATAATTAAGACCAATACCAGCCTAGATGGTAAACTATTTTGAAATTTCACAGTTAGGTGACTTTTTACAATTACTTTCATATATTTGACTAAAAAAGAAATCTATAGAGAAGAAATACAAAAAATATGGGGAAAAAGTGATAATTTGGCGCTATTCCAACAAGTTCCCATAGGGTCCGATAGTAAAATTTGACAACTTATGAGATGACCCCCTAAGAAATCGGGGTGGTAAACATTCGATTTTTTAATCTTAAAGCAATAATTGATGAAGATACTGTATCCAGCATCAACTTTCTCAATGAACAGTAAAAATAAACTCACGAAAAATTATCAAAATCCCAAGGGTAGAAATAATTAGACTCGGCCTCGTTAAGTTAAAACAAGTTTTTCTGTCGAGGATAATATATAATAATGGTTATTAAGTTTATTTCTAAGACTTAATCAAAATATTTATGATACATATATAATTAAGAAAATATATTCAAATTGTGTACTAGTAATGTATTTCTTAAATTCAAAGTAAATATTTTTACCTCGTTTGACAATAGCTCTAAACCCACGTGCTTGCTCAATATTGTCAGAATAAAAATGCAGAAACAATGCTGCCGAGGTCCCATACGTCTCATTCGGAGATATAACAGCAGTACTTTGTTTGTAGCCCCGACATATTTTAGCAATTTGGTTCCCATTCATGTCACCTAAGATGATAAGTTTTATATGAATAAAATAATAATTAAAAAAAGATTTTTATCATGCTCCATGTAGGCGAGATTAGTACATGTAGTTGATGTAAAATGCACGTCTTTTTATTAATAAAATAACCATTCTTTAGATTTCCCATAAACATGAACGTGAAGGTACTTTCCGATGGAGTGCTGCGATTTTGGACCTATATTCGCATTTAATTGTTTATTTCACACTAACATCTAAACATAACTGCGACAAGTACCTCTTACACATGTATATGGTCTCATCCAAATAAAAGAACGGTCTCGGTCGTATCTACAGACTGTGGACAAAAGTATCGGAACGATTTACGACGTCGTTTAATATTTGGGAAATACTCGCGTTTGATTGGATGCTCAAAATAGCCATATTACGTAACAACTAATAAAAATAAATTACATCATTTGAAAGATGAGACAATTTTGCATTTACCTGACAAAAATAAAGTTTATTATTTAAAATTTACATTAATATTTTGTGATGTATCCTTTGGCCCTTATTAAATCGTACCGCGGCGATTCTTGAGGGGAGAGATCGATATAAATTTTGAATTGTTACGCAGTCAAAACTTGTCCAAATCAAAAATATTTTATTACATAATTGTTCCACAGAAGTAATTTCATGCATGGATTGTTCTATTCTTCTTTTAATCTTTAACCATAAATTTTCTATGATGTTAATATCGGGGCTTTGTGCTGGCCACTCCATTGTAGTATTGATATGGTTGTTTTCCATAAAAGTTTCGTTGCCCTAGAACGATGAACTGGTGCATTATCATCTTGAAAAACGTATCTATTGTCTGGAAAGTGTCTTGCTATCACTGGCCATAGATTGTCGTCTATAATTCGAATATATTTATCTGAATTTATGTTTCCGTCCACACGTGTTATTGTCCCGACGCCATGATAGGTTATGCAACCCCAAACCTTTACGGAAAGTTTTTTGCTTTTTATTGGTGAAATGCATTCTGGTCTAAATGCCTCATCACATTTTCTCCAGATATAAACTTGATTGTCACTGCCAATAACAACCTGACTCTCGTTTGAAAAAATTACCTTTTTCCAGTCATCGTCTGTCCATGTTGATTTCGCACGACACCATGCTTCTCTCCGCTGTCTGTTTACAGGGGATATCCTTACTTTTTTCTTACAGCCGCAGCGATGATAATTTGATCCTTTAAAAAACGCCACATTGTCTTTTTAGACACATTTCTGTTTTCATTGTTGTTGAATGTTTCTGTCAAATCAGCCAGCGGAGTTTTCCTGTTACTTTTCACTTGTCGCAAAATTTTTCTCCCGTCATGATCGCTCAAACTTTTTTCCTACCTGTTTTCGGGGCAGTTTTAACAGTTCCTCGTTCACAAAAAATTCTATAAATTCGGTGCACAGTTGTTTTAGACATTTTAAGCATATCTGCAACTTTTTAAAAAGAATTTCCATTTTGAACTAATAAAACAACGGATGTTTTAAGACCATCCGATGCATAATGACGATTCTCAGCCATGATTTTTGGGGACAGATTTTACCTACTTTTAGATTGCAGACGATAAATAATGACGTAGAAAATGTAAACAGGAAGTAGTCAAAAATCTAAAAATACCCAAGGTGTAGCATTAAATCGTGTCTACACTGAAAACGCCTGCTATAAATAACGCGAACATTTGCATTCATATGTTGACTAACGAAAAACGTTCCGATACTTTTGTCCACAGTCTGTACATGTAAAACGTCTGGTCAAGTGTGTTAACACATCCAGTTACACTGTATTTAAACAACCAGTAACACCTAGGACTATCTAATGATTAAGTACAGTGTATATTCCAACAGTTTCCAAACATTTTAAAAGAACAGTAATCAGTATGAAGTCTGTCTTTTCATTATGATGAATCAAATGTTTAAAATACATGCATTTGTTGTAAGAAATTTAATTATATTAATTAGGTCAAAATATGACTTGCTATTCCATGAACTTACCAGACAAAAAGCAGCCAACACATAAGTACGATTTACCCGAGGTTTTCCTGGTTTGTTTAACGATTTTGATATTTTACGTGTTAGGAAAACGTCAGAACCGACATCATTACGAAAACTGGTTGATTTTAGATACTTGCAAACAGAAATAAAAGTCAAACTCAGAAATTATAAGTAGACCATTACTTTTAGTACTTACCTTTATCGTTTTCATGGTTCATTCATAAAATATACAATCCGATGAAAACATTTAATTAGATTGCCTGGCACGTAAAATATCAAAATTCGTTTAAAAGCCACCAAAACGTCAGATATTTTGGACTACCAACAGGTATGCCAATAGAATACTTTGGTACTAACGGTTTTTTTTCATTTTTTTCCTTTCGTGTTAAAAACAATTTGACCCGAAAATTAGACTCTGGACGAACTCTGTCACTCCACACCAAATCTCCGGTCCATGAATTTAACGGTGCCATTGTATAGCCATCCAAGCATCTTAATTTGAAACTAGAGGTACTGTGAGCAATGAGCTCACTAAATGATACCCCCCGCCTCCCATAATGTGCATGGTTTGCTGTATATTGTTTTACAGTAATGTGTAAAGAGGAATAACTCGTCCTATCAAATGTTATTCAGAAGCCTTTACATGTGACGTCATAGGTAAAAGTATAATGGCAATGTCCATGTTTTGGTATGAGAAAGCTAAATTACGTGTCGAATAAAAAAAGTAAAATAAGGGGTCACAATGGCAATATGTAATAAATATGCTGTGAAAGTTTCATTAAATTTCACTCAGTAGTATAAGAGGAATTGCGTATAAGAGATGGGTACCCCAAAGCGTAACAGACGGACGGACGGACATACTGATTACTATATACCCTCCCACATTTCAAGCGGGGGGTGTAGATACCCTCCCACTTTTCAAGCGGGGGTATAATAACTGTGACAGACTATGGTGTCTTTTATTATAAGTTAATTTATATATTTAAAGACGACATACGAAGGGGAAATATTTTAAATAAGACCCAAATATTTTCTAAGTATACTTAATACCTTCTCTTAGGATGATCTTGTCAAAACAGTCTCCATCGTAATCAAGGTTGATAAACTGGAAGGAGATGACAAGTCCTAGGCTCGGAGGAACTGGTGTAAACGTATAATTGCATTCAATGTTGCTAAAAATAATTTCACTTGTTTTAATAATATGCAGTGATACATCTCATATAAATATTTACAAATAATGATATTGTACTGGGATCTCGAATGTACTTCACAATTTTGATCGGATTTTTTATATATACGAGTAAGAAAATGCAATGAAAAATTCGGGCCACGATTAAAATTCACAATTAAGTCACCTTCAGAATCCGCACTTATGTAATTTAAAAATATTGTATTCAAAGAGTGAACTGAATCCATTACATTCAAATACAAAATATTAAGAAACGTGAGCGGTTTTTAGGGGGTCTCCTTTTTAGCTCACCTCAAGTGAGCTTTTCTGATCACATTTTGTCCGTCGTCAGTCCGTCTGTAAACTTTTCACATTTTCGACTTCTTCTCAAGAACCACTTGGCCAATTTTAATCAAACTTGGTACAAAGCATCCTTGGGTGATAAGGAGTTTGAATTGTTAAAATAAAGGATCATGCCCCCTTCAAAGGGGAGATAATCAAGAAAAGACAAGAAAGAGTTAGGGGGGTTATTAAAAAATCTTCTCAAGAACCACAGGGCCAGAAAAGCTGAAACTCATGTGGAAGCAACCTGGGGTAGTGTAGATTCTAAATTGTTCAAATCATGACCCCCGGGGGTAGGGAGGGGCCACAAAAGGGAATCCAAGTTTTACATAGAAATATATAGAGAAATTTTCTCCTTTAAAGAAGCAGTGGGCCATAAAAGCTGAAACTTAGGTGGAAGCATCTTGGGGTACATATAGTGTAGATTCTAAATTATTAAAATCAAGATGAGAGGTGGTGGTGGTGAGGGGGATAGGGGGCCATACTAAATATAAGAAGAGGGGAAATCTGGTAAAGAACTGCATCACCAAAGTTTTTCAGGTGAGCGATGTGGCCCATGGGCCTCTTGTTTTTAATTGTCTTTATGCTTTGACGCCAGTGTGAATCACGTGAGATTCCAGGCATTTCCGTCGTATACAGAAACTTGCTTATTTTTACCACAAAGTACCAAACTTACTGTAAAAAACACTAACTTCAAGCGAGTGTTTCATCAGTTATTAACCTACTTCAATAAACCATGATAGCTTATCTTTAGAGACTTCTCTTTTCTGATAAATGTATATCGTACAAAACGTCCTTGATCAGGCCTCTCTATTGTAAACCATTAATAATATAATAATAATATAATACTTTATTTTAAGAGGGTAACCCGATTAGTGCAATGCACTAGTCTTCCTCGGGACCCTCTAAGCATGTTCACAATAATAAAATCGTTGTACAATAATAAATAATACAACATGACGTAAAAATACAAGTACATATAGATTTCAGGAGATTTTAGTTGCGGCACGTTATTATGAATTTTTCTACATTTTTAGCTCTACTGGTCAGAGACCAGAAGAGCTTATGCGATAGTAATGCGTCCGTCGTCCGTCCGTCTGTCTGTCTGTCTGTCTGTAAACAATTTTTCAAAATGCTACTCCTCCTACAGTTTTGGTCCGATTTCAATATAACTTGGCACATAAGTAGACTACACTAAGATACATAATTTTGTGCATCGGTTTTTGATTTTGATAAACGGTGTTGCCGTGGTTACTAAAAATAGAAATTTCTTTGAACTTCTTTCAAAATGCTACTCCTCCTACAGTTTGGTCTGATTTCAGTATAACTTGGCACAAAAGTAGACAACACCAAGATACATAATTCTGTGCATCGGTTTTTGATTTCGATAAAGGGTGTTGCCGTGGTTACTAAAAATAGAAATTTCTGTGAAATTCTTTCAAAATGCTACTCCTCCTACAGTTTTGATCCAATTTCATTATAACTTGGCACACAAGTAGACTACACTAAGATACATAATTCTGTGCATCGGTTTTTGATTTCGATGAACGGTGTTGCCGTGGTTACTAAAAATAGAAATTTCTTTGAAATTCTTTCAAAATGCTACTCCTCCTACAGATTTGGTCCGATTTCAGTATAACTTGGCACACAAGTAGACTACACTAAGATACATAATTCTGTGCATCGGTTTTTGATTTCGATGAACGGTGTTGCCGTGGTTACTAAAAATAGAAATTTCTGTGAAATTCTTTCAAAGGCTAATTGTATTCGGCTACTCCTCCTACAGTTTTGGTCTGATTTTGATATAACTTGGCATACAAGTAGACTACACTAAGATACATAATTCTATGCATCGGTTTTTGATTTCAATGAACAATGTTGCCATGGTTACTAAAAATAGAAATTTCTGTGAAATTCTTTCAAAATGCTACTCCTCCTGCAGTTTTGGTCTGATTTCAGTATAACTTGGCACACAAGTAGACTATACTAAGATACATAATTCTGTGCATTGGTTTTTATTTTGATGAGTGGCAAGGATCATTTTTCTATTTATTGCTGATTTAAAGTCTCAAGTCCCAACTGCGACTTTTCTCTTCCTTTGTTTTAAGTATAAACCAGTAGAGCTACAGTCTCGACAGAGACTTCTGGTTACGAAATGTGTGTAAATTCTGTGAAAAACAAAGGTAATTTGTTCCATAAATGAACACCGGAATAATGAAAAAAAATTTTAAATTGATTTGTTCGATATTTCGGTAGATGAAGGTCATAGTTTGTTTCAGATCGTAGACCATAACTACTAGAAGAAATAAATTCAAAAGAGTCTCTTAAATAAGTAGGTGCCATACCATGAAGTGTTTTGTACAGTAACATATATTTATGAAAATCGATCAACTCGTAAATAGTCAGCCATCCAAGTTTTTCGAATAATGGTAGTGAAGGGGCATCATAAGCCACATCTAGTATAATACGGGCTGCCCTTTTTTGCAATTTAAAAACTCTATCTATGCCAGCACCTGGCGCATAACCCCAAATAGTTAGGCAATAATTCAAAGAGGGCAGAATGTATGCATTATAGAATAGTTTTCTTGTGTGTAAGGGAAGGAAATTTTTAATTTTATATGTCAAAGATTTACAAACTGAGTCAATATGGTGATTATAGCGCAATGAACCATCAATATGCACTCCCAGAAGTTTTTCAGATTCAACATTTTCAATTAATTTGTTTGAGGCATATAAATTTAGTTCAGGTGAATCTATTCTTGATTTTCTCTGCTGAGTTCCCATAAGCATACATTTTGTCTTATTGGTATTTAACACTATTTGATTTTTGGAACACCAATTTTCAATCTCACACTGTTCCAATTTTCAATCTCACACAAATCAAAGTTAAGGGCATTCTCAATACCTTCTATATTTTTATGATATGTATGCAAGGTTGCATCATCGGCAAACATATCAATATCTGTTCTATTTACATGTAAAGGGAGATCATTTATATACAATAAAAATAATAGGGGACCTAAGATAGATCCTTGGGGCACTCCTGCTGTGACGGGCAAAAAATCAGAGGAATATGATCCTATTTTTACGCACTGAGATCTTGAGGTTAAATAAGAATGAAACCATTTAATAGCCATTTGATTAAAGTGATATGATTGAAGTTTACTTATAAGAATTTCACGATTAACCAAATCAAATGCCTTGCTAAAGTCAATGAAAGTTATGCCTACTAGATTTCCTTGGTCCACAGCTTGTAGCCAATTATCTGTTAAGTTTTGTAAGAGCCGTTTGACATGAATGAAATTCTCGAAATCCAGATTGTGATTTAAATAAAAGATCAAAGTTAGAGGCAAAGTTACATATTTGATTTGCTATGTGTTTTTCAACTAATTTTGATAATGTTGGAAGAATGGATATCGGTCTGCAGTTCCCTGGATCTGCGTGGTCGCCATTTTTAGCTCTACTGGTCAGAGACCAGAAGAGCTTATGCGATAGTAATGCGTCCGGCGTCCGTCCGTCTGTCCGTCTGTCTGTCCGTCTGTCTGTAAACAAATTTTTCAAAATGCTACTCCTTTTACAATTTTAATCTGATTTCAATATAACTTGGCACACAAGTAGACTACACTAAGATACATAATTCTGTGTATCGGTTTTTGATTTTGATAAACGGTGTTGCCGTGGTAACTAAAAATAGAAATTTCTGTGAAATTTCTTTAAAATGCTACTTCTCCTACAATTTTGGTCTGATTTCAATATAACTTGGCACACAAGTAGACTACACTAAGATACATAATTCTGTGTATCGGTTTTTGATTTCGATGAACGTTGTTGCCGTGGTTACTAAAAATAGAAATTTCTGTGAAATTCTTTCAAAATGCTACTCCTCCTACAGTTTTGGTCTGATTTCAATATAACTTGGCACACAATTAGACTACACTAAGATACATAATTCTGTGTATTATATACGGTTTTTGATTTTGATAAATGGTGTTGCCGTGGTAACTAAAAATAGAAATTTCTGTGAAATTCCTTTAAAATGCTACTCCTCCTACAGTTTTGGTCTGATTTCCATTTAACTTGGCACACAAGTAAACAACACTAAGATACATAATTCTGTGTATCGGTTTTTGATTTCGATGAACGTTGTTACCGTGGTTACTAAAAATAGAAATTTCTGTGAAATTCCTTTAAAATTCTACTCCTCCTACAGTTTTGGTCTGATTTCAATACTACTTGGCACACAAGAAGACTACACTAAGATACATAATTCTATTTATCAGTTTTTCATTTCGATGAACATTGTTGCCGTGGTTACTAAAAAAAGAAATTTCTGTGAAATTCCTTTAAAATGCTACTCCTCCTTCAGTTTTGGTCTGATTTCAATATAACTTAGCACACTAGCAGACTACACTAAGATACAAAATTCTGTGTATCGGTTTTTGATTTTGATGAACGTTGTTGCCCAGCTGGTTACTAAAAATAGAAATTTCTGTGAAATTCCTTTAAATTTCTACTCCACATACAGTTTTGGTCTGATTTCAATATAACTTGGCACACAAGTAGACTACTCTAAGATACATAATTTTCTCTATCTGTTTTTGATTTCGATGAACGTTGTTGCTGTGGTTACTAAAAATAGACATTTCTGTGAAATTCTTTCAA